TGCGCAGTGTGCTTGATTTTCTCCCCTCCCTCGCTGCCCTGCCTTCCCTCAGTTTGCTGCAGGTTCCCCCCAAGCTGTGCAGGGTGAGCAGCAGCACCCGACCTGGCTGCAGTTTCCTGCAAAGCACCACTGACCTGCAGGGCTGGCCAGCCTGGGGCTGGAGGAAGGGGCCTCTGCCTCTCGATCAGTCACTCACGTGCTGCAGCTCTTGTCTTTCTTCACATATAATGAGCTTTGCAGCCTGCAGTAAATTATTCTTCTTAGCTGTCCTATGGGAATTTATGGGTGTTTTCTTATGGGTAAGATTCATAGGGCATATTACCTTCCCATCTCAGGAGGAACAGATGTGCCAAGCTATTTTCATCAAGTGTTTCTTTGCTAAGAATTTTTTTCCTGGAGTTCAGCGCTGCTAAGAGCAGGGCTTCCAAGCCTTGCATTGCAGGACAGCACCTGCATTTTCCATGACACAGCTTTCCCAGTTTGACAGTTGAGTGCAATTGATTTCCACCATCTGGAGTCTGAGATCTTCCTTGAGGCCCAGGTTATCATTTTTAAAGGATAGTGACCCTGTCCCTTTTGTTTCAAGAAGTTCTGTCTCTCTGAGGCTTTTTTTACAGTGAGTAAACTGCCTGCTGATTAACTGACGGTGGGGAACGTGTTTGTAAAGCTGGCAGTGACACTCCCAGTGTCCAGCAGATCATTTTTCTGTGCCAGTCAGTCTGACCCATGTAAGAGTTTCATGAAGGATTCCATTTTTTTTCTGAGCAAACTGTAAAAGTATCAGCTAGCACTTGATTCGTTCCCTATTCCGTATTTATTCTTTGTCATTTTGTTAAGATCCCAGGCTGAGCCACTTTAATTTGCTTATCTGTTAAATGAGCAGCCCAGCTGCCTGGGAAACACTCCTGTCCAAAGCCTCTCCTGTCCAAAGCAAGAGAAGCTGGCTCGCTCCCTCCTTCATGGCTGTTAGAGCAGCTGGAATCAAGCACCAGCAAACTGCAGGATGCACAGCTCTGCTGCTCTGCGCACTGGTCCTCTTTGGGGCTCAATAGTCCCTATAACCCAGAGCTGCTTTTTGTTGCTGATATTTGCCAAGAGATTTTAAAGCCCTATCTAGATTTTAAGTGGTAATGTGAAAGGCTGAATGTATATATTTTGCCTTTCGGTTCAGACAGTAGCTTATGTTCTGGGACAGTGTAATTCTAGCAACTGTCTAGACATACGGCAATTCAGCCATACGTCAGTTCAGCCATTAGGAGTCAGGAATGAAATATAGCTTATGCAGTATAGGCTGTGAATTCATGCTTCCCTCTGAGGTGTTCTTCAGTCATTAAGCAGTGTCACGACTATGAGTATCTGTTCCATTTACAATTTAAATAAGTGGATTATTTTTAGTTCTGTTGTGATGCTGAAAATTTGGCAGACGTCAGTCCTGAGGTGAGGAGAAACGATGGAGGAGAATGGGGTTAAGGAATGGTTTGTTTTCTGTGGAGAGGAAATACTTCAGAGAAATTGTGTTATGTTTTGACTGAAGTGCTTCAATTATTGCATAATTCAGTGTTTTCCTATGTTTTAGGATTATTTAACTTTTTTGCTTAGCTACCTTCTTTTGATTTTTTTGCTTTTTAAACAAACATTGCTGTTTGTTTTAAATAGCTGTTTTTTAAACTTTCTAACTTTCAATTTCTACACAAACAGTGAAATTCCTTCTAAAAACAATGGCACAAATATTTTAAAATTCAGCTGAAGCAATTAGTCAAAAACTGATCCAGATTTGTGAATAGTTTAGCACCAAAAGCTCCTTTTTCATAGCAAGTCTCCTCTTGGTCTATATTCTTGTCTCATCCCTTTGTCCCAGGGCAAAGCAGTTGTTCTCTTTTTGCCCATAAGAGGAGAAATGGATACGAATGTGCTTCCCCTAACACTTTTTTGTACTCTCACTGTTCACTGGAAATGCAAATCTAGTTTCTCAGTAGATTTTTTCCTATAGCAAATAATCCAAGGACAGGGTCTTCTTGGAAGTAAAAGGGCCTCCTGCTATTTGCATAAGCTTTAAATTTGCCTGTGAATGTATCATCACATTTGATATATTCCAAGCATGGGTTAGATGGAGAGCAAGACCACAGAGGCACTAAGCAGCACTAATGTTCACACACAAACATTAAACACATGTTTGCAATGTAACTCAATAGAAGAATGCAGTTGACCTGTTTGGAAACTGCAGTAGACAAACCGTACTGAGTGTAAATATTTCATATTAGTTTTAGGGGTTGGAACAAGCTACAAAGCTGTAGGCACGAGATCAGGTTTCTCAGCTGGAGGCTTGATTAGATCCCATGCCTGCCTAGCCAAAAAGTTCAGATGTGTTTCCGAAACTTCCTAAATGTGGGGAGATAAGAGGTCTATGTTTCATTCTAATTAGTATCTCTCACAACGTTTCTTACAGTGCCTTTCCTCCACAGTACGTGTTTTTAATAGATGGATGCTGTCAGAAAAAATGAATAGCATGGAATAGAAGCTGACATGAAAAGGCATTGCTGGAAGTGATAGACTTCATCCCGATTTCTGGTCTTTGTCTTCAGTTTCACTGCCTCACGTTCAGATCAGAAAGCGTGCAGCCAGAGCTCTGCAGGGCCCCTGCTGGCCCCTTATCACAGCTCCCCACGCTGAGCACGCAGCTCCTGTACCTGCACAGCGATCCAGGTCCTTTTGTAAAACAACTCTGGCAGTGTTGACCTTTCTGATAAGCCGTGCCACCATTTGATTCCATCATGACTGAAGCACACTTCATCTGCTAAGAACCCTATTTCCAATTCTCAGCTAAAATTAAGCTATCGAAAGTACAAAAGTCGACAGTCCCACTATCCTGCCTCAGTCCTTACTTCTCACGCTTCATGTTTTTGTGAGGAAAACTGTTCTGGGCTGTGGAGAGCATGAACTCCAACTCCACATCCAGTTTGTTCTTTGAGATTGATTTAAAGTGAGAGCGCCCACACATTTCCATGGCATTCCTTAAGCAGGGACTGTTGTCATTAGCAAAGAAATGAACGCTGATATCTCCATATGAATGACCTATTCCCAGACGAGTTAACAGTCGTGGGGTAACAAAGACAAAGTGAGTGAGATAAACCACTTCTGTTTTCCTTTGCCAGTGGAGTTGTATTTTGGAATGGACAAGCAAATCCAAACCTCACACTCTGCATTCAAACTACTCTACAGGTCACCAATAAGCAGCACTGATTTCTAGCAGGAGATCAAAACTCCCAGAGCTGAGAGATGATGTGAAGAGGGATGTGCTGCCCAGCCAGTGACAGATTTTCTCTTTTCAAAGCCTAAAAGTCTCTCACCATCAAAGCTTAATTTAACGCACTTAAGTGAAATGGTGTAAACTGGCAGCTATAACATAACTGTAGCACTTCTATGCAGTGCGTTTGACCCTTGCAACATACTTGAGCACTTCACTCCTATTTAATGACAGGTAGACCAGCACAGAATACAACTGCTCCCTGCTGCCCAAAGGGTGAACACTTGTTTTAAACAGAAAATGGATCCCCCTTGATTTGAAGCAAAACACTGTTTGCCAACACATGGGTTATTGGAAAGGAGAAATTTGAGAGGCTTTTGCCATTTATTTGAACCCCTTGTCAATAACAGCCAAAATAGAGAACTCTCAGAAAGGAGTACTTGGAATTTTGAACATTCCAATTACAGAGCTATTTCCTCACTAGCTAAAAATGTTAGAGAAATATTTTAACATCTTTTCCTGGAGATTTAAGAACATTCTCAGTTCTTCTGACAGATGAAGGAGAGAGCTCTGATACAATAATACAGGGGCTAAAAGGACGCACAGATAGCCTTACCCTAACACTTAGTTCAACTGAGGCTTTCTTTAATCACAGAACAGCTGCCACAACAGCCCTAGATGCAAAGTGAGAGAATGCCCTTAGGCAAAGGGGTTGTGGTCAGCTGGACTGGAACAGTGGTGGCAGAGCAGGGCAATGGCACCGATCAGACTCCTAAACACAGCCTGTGGCTTTGCTTTTTGTGTTCACGAGGCATCTGGACAGTGAGCAGCATGTACTGAAGATGCTGCACTCCATGCGGGCAGCTCAGGCCAGCGTCCTACAAAGAGGGGACACAAAGAGCCACAAGAGCGTAGCTAGATCCTCCAAGCAATTAGTAATGGATTTTTTTACTCTATAAAAATCCCTCAATATTACATCAGGAATTAGAAAGGAAACACAGCAGGAGGATGCAAGGTTCGTTCAGAGGCAGGTTCTAGGCAGGTTGATGTTACTGTATGGCATCCATACACTGTCTTGTCAACAGCATACTCCAAAGCAAAATGGCTGGTTGCCTACATTGCATGCTGTAGTCAGCTGTGGATTAGCTGAATGGCACCTGAAACTTTATACCGTAGGATATCAAGTTAAAGAATTTTTTTACAAAAATCTTGACTGCTTGATGGTCTCACATTCTTTTAATCTTCTGATGACCATCACTGTATCCATACAATGAAAAATCAGTAAGGCTCAGAAGCTTTATTAAATTAAACTACCTCCGATTCTTATTTATTTCTATGATATGTGTATATCCTGTCTGATTTATTGTGGCAAATCTGTAGAAAATCCTACAGTTCTCTAAAGGTGTGACCAAGTTACTTCTGTGTTAATCTGTACCCTTATGGTAACACTTAATTGCTGTGGAATTCTGATGTGCTGCAGTGTAATAGCAGCTGTGAAAGAAATTCAGAGCATTGAGGAAAGAACTAACCCATGTGCCATGGAGACCTGTGGAGCCAGTTATTAACTGCATTGTTACAGGTGGGGAACAGATAGGAAAAGGATTTTTATTTCTTTTTAATATGATTGTGCTACAAACTAGCAAAATAAGGTTAAAAATAGGATATTCGAGATGTCACTGGATGTCTTGTCATGTGTAACAGTGGGCTCCGATCAGCAAAGGAATGGTTCTGCAAACCAGTGTTCTTCTCTCTGCAGACGACAGAAATCCATTTGTGGAGTTTCACCCGGAGCATCCCAAAATCATCTACATTCTAAAGACTAAGAAAACAGTTGTTATCCCCTGCCAAGTCACTTCTCCAGATATCAGACCCATACTTACCAAGGTAAGTGGCTGGTTTGGAGAAATTCAGACAATTCAGAGGTCTGCAGTGCCATCACAGTGGGTAAATGTGAAAAATAAAATTGATGAAGCTAGGTATGTTTCAGAAGGAAATAGAAAAGGCAGTAATCATCTGGAAGCACTGCCATCACAGTGTATTAGTGGTGAACTGTGCATAAGGCTGTTGGTGGGATTCGGTTGAGTTTATCAAATGTTCTTCGCATTCCATAGTTTGATGTTCCTCCATTAAAGCTTATCAATTTTATATCGTGAGCCTCTCAGAACTGTTGCCCATTTCTGCTTGATTTCGGAACTTAAAACCAAGTTTTGATCTTAGAAATAAGTGGCTACTTCCTTCAGCAGCAGCCACACCTGAATGTCAAGGCTGCAGAATGGTCTGTGGAATAAAAATAGAAATTTAGGGTTCTGGGGCTTCTTCAGTCAATAGGGATGTAATTGCTCAGTTAAAGAGCTTCAGAACCACTTCAGAAATGTGCCTATCTCAGAAGAAGGAAAAGAACATGGGTCTCCTAGCTCCAATCCTGCCTTTTGCCCAGGAGGTGATGTGCCTCTCCATTGCCCTGCTGCCTCTGCTGCTGCCCCTTTTCCACTGTCTGTTCTGGAAGGGTTGTGAGATGTGATGCTGTGTTGCTGAAGGTGGTGTGCCAGCAGGGAACACAGATACGTGATGCCTGGCTCTGGTCTGAGGGGCTCTGCCTCTCCTGGGTGTTGGGCGTCTCCTCCTGAGAGCCAGCACATGGAACACAGAGGCCTGATACAGAGCTCCAGCTCCTGCAGAAAGCGATGGCGAATTTCCAGCCGACGTGCACAGGGACAGCACAAGCCTTATTGCTTTAGCAGATCTCTATTTTTAAGTTTTGTCAGTAGGGATTAAAAGTGGGGGGATAAGGCTGCTCTCCATTTATAGCTTATCACTTCGGCCTGGATAACTGTTATCACCTTCTCCTTGGCTACAAAAATGAAACATCCCCATCTTACGTGAGCCTACTTCAACCAAATTCGCTGCTGGAATAGAGTCACATGAGCCTAAACAGGGCCTTGGAGCTCCCTGATTTATCCCCTTATTTACAGGCAACTCGGCTCTCCTGTGTACCAGCTAAACTCTCCCCTGGTAATTTCTTCAAACGCAGTCCTTTACCTTGAGGCAAGCTGCTAGAGAAATGAAATCTCCACTGAAATCTCCCTGTTGAATTGCAGAGAAAACTGTCCCCCACAGAGTCTTCCCCTGCAATGGGGAGCAGCAGGGCACAGGGAGGGATGGGATGCTGAGCGCCGCTCCCACAGGAACGCTCTCAGGAGCCGTGTGCCAGTTGCAGCAGCCAGAAAGTCACCTCTAGCACAGCCTGTCTGGGGATCCGACGGCCCGCGTGGAGCCGAGGCGGCGGCTTCCCATGCGCAGGGGAAGCGGGGTGGAGAGGGGCGGAGGTGCGGCTGTGGGACGAGAGGTGAGCGAGGCGAGCGGACAGATTTAGAACATCCTCTGCTTCCAAATTTAATCTCCTATGGACAGCGAACTTCAAAGGGAGGAAAGCCGCTGTGATTTCCTTCAAGCAGCACTGACGTTTTTTGTTTGGTTGTTTAAATATATATTTTTGAATATTCTATGGAGATGTTTAATATGTGTGTAGTGTTGAAAAGGGCCTCCTGAGTAGGGTTATTTTTTCTTCCCCTTCCTCTCGCCATCAGGGAGCGGAGCTGCCAAACCATGAAATTCATCTTTATCACATATTATTATTCTTTTAGAAAATGTACTTTTCCCACCGTAAATTAAGTTCCTTATGTTACCATTATACTTTAAAATCACTGCACTCTCTGGCCTTTAAATATGTATGGGGAAAGGTACCACTCACTAATACCAAACAGATCCCGGCTAACTCTGCAGATCGTCTCTGTTATTAAGAAACAGTGCTAAGACACAAGACTCGAACTTTTAGTTTTGCTTAAAATGATTTTAATTCTGGGCAAAAAAGCGTTTTCAATCCTGTCAGATCTGTTTAGTCACTGATTTGGCTCAGTGTGCGTTTGCCACTTACAGCTTTGACCTTCATGGGTGTTAAAGCACGATTAAGCCCCAGGTCTCAGATCTCGTTCTGCAGCTTTTCCTGAATTTTCCTAATGGCTCTGCACAGCTCAATTACTTTGAAAGCATCTTCCCAAAATCCATGTTTCTTATGACTGTCAGAAAAGAACTGCTGCTCCAGAAGAAAGCCATGCCTGCCATCCCAAAGCAATGCCACCAGCATCTGCCCCAAACTTACTTCCATGGTCTTTGTTCTATGTTGAGTACTTAGTAATAAGGGACATAAAGCAATGCCATCCCAACCAACAGTGTGTTCCCAGGTTCCCAGGATAGGTATGAGCATCAGCTCTCAAAGCCTGGAGCTGAAATTTCATCAGAAGAGGAGTGTTATTTAAACTGAATCCAATTTAAACCACACTGCTAATACGGGAATACTGTTTGTTTGGAGGCAGAAGAATAAATTGTGTGTTGCACACAAAAGATGAAGAGCAACATTATGATTCTTTTTTTCAAGAATCACAGAACAATACAAATATTTAGGAATCTAGGACAACTAATGTCTATGCTACTATGTTAATCATAGAATCAGAGAACGGTGTTTTGAGAAAAATGCATGGTGCATACCCGTAGTGCATAAGGCAAGATTTTGTTCCTAGGCACTTCCAAAAAGGTTACCCTGCAAAGCTTCCATAAGACAGGCAAAATTACTTGCAGTAAAGAGATGAGGGAAACCAGATTTACAATGGGTGGCACCACATCTTGCATAAGGTCTGAGAGGTTTGGGGCTACTGAATCAAGAGCCCCAGTTACGATGTCCAAGTTTTGGATTTCAAACAGTTGTACCTCAGGGAGGACTCTCCTATTTGCACATGTTGTTGTTGCCTGAGATGTGTGTGGAATGAGACCAACCACTCTGAAAGATCAAATATCTCCCTAGTAATAAAGCAGAACAGCTTGGGCTGCTTGGCCTGATGACCTGAGGAGAAAGGGAATGTCTCAGCCACCTCCTCTTGCCTGCTCTCTTTCAGTATCCTCATCTTGAAAAGCTAGACTTCAGGAAGATGGTGTGGGACCCAAAAAGAGGATTTGTCATCCCCTCTCATTCTTTTACTTATTCTGGAGTACTCGCATGCACTGCAAACATCACTGGAAGTGTGTTCTCATCCTATTACCTCGTACACAAACTGGGTGAGTGATTGCTGTGTGCCAAGGAATGACCACAGTATTTCTGCTTCATTGCTAATCCCCCGGCTGTTATTTATTGGCTAGCCCTAGGAATATTTGATATATCTAATTGTTATGTATCTGTAGCACATCCGAACTGCAGCACTTACAGCAAACTGATTCTTCCCCTTGTTTTCCTATTCAATAGAACTTGCCTGATCCACTCAAACTGCCAGCTGTTGAGGTGGTACAGAACAGGAGCATTTTATTCAAACCTCACCACAGCTTTGTTTGCTTGGATAGAGCAGTATTTACACCAAAGCAAATGCCAATTTAGAATAAACAAAACATTAGATTTCTTTTTGTTTCTGGTCATTAAACACATGAGATCATGGTATAAAAACCTCATTAACATATTCAGATATTTGCTTTTTTATCCTGTTTCTCATGGTGATTTACTCTGTCTTTTCCCTTGTATTTACGGTTGACCTTCAACTCAGAATTTATATCCAAATTTGCAGCTACCAATCATTAAATTTTGAAATGCTGGAGATTAATTAAAATCCACTTCTAATTTATTTTTCTTTTCAATGTATTCTCTTTCTTTCTTTGTACGTTATATTTTTCACAAGGAGAGATTGTGACTTCATTCCCATTAGATTATAGCATCCTTCTATGCAATTAGCACTCAGCTTTAAATAACAATGAATTTGTGCGGCAGCCAAATAAAGATCCTGTAAATCTCTCTCTCTATTTTTCTTTCATTGCTGGAGTAGTGATTATTTATTACTAAAATTGTGAATGCAAAGCTAAAAAAAAAAAGCCATGAGGACATCCTTATCTAGCCCCCAGGCACACCTGCAAGACCTTTCTCTGTAATGTATTGCTGCGCAGTGGTCAGAATTGTATCTACTATGCTGCTCCACAGACTAAGAGGCATGGCCTTGAAGGAGGCTTTTTCAGAGCTGATGCATTTGAGACATCAGTAAGTACAAAAGACTGAGATCTGGTGGTCCCATTCAAAAAGGAGAGGTAACTGGCCATCAGGGGCAGGAGAAGTGAAAATGTTGAGTTACTTCTGAATCTTCTTTTCTTAGGAAAGAAGAAGTACAAGAATAGTATGAGAATGTTTGGGCTTTGAGGGCTGGAGCCAAACATGGCGAAAGCAAGAAAAATCGTTCATAAATGCGCGTGCCCACATCTGACCGCTTTGATCAGCTGATGGTCAGGCGTTGATTCAGCTGACCTCGCTGCTCCTTACGTGCGTGTTTTCAGAAGTTTCTGTAGAAACTGCAGAAGAAGATGAAGTGCTTTATAGACTGAAAGGAGCAGATGCTGGAGGGGCATTCAGAGTGTGGTTACTACCTTAAGTGTCATTTATGCGTGGAGTGCTGTGTGCTTATACTTTTGCTTTTTTCCTTTCAGAGGGCAGAGCACAGAACCTGGCTTTGAAAGCAACTCCCAAAAAACTGCTGGTTGGAGAAACTCTCTATTTGGAATGCAAAGCAGAAACCTTCATCAACGGGCGCATCGAATTTGTATGGACGTGTCCTAGGGGAAAAGTGAGTTGATGAGAATTCAGGATTCTGCTTTGATGCAGTCTCCTACCCGAAAGAAAGATGTTCGTGGTGCTGAGCACACTGGCTACTAGCTGTTCTGAAATACAGCCTACCATTTCTATGCCTACAACTGATTGTATTTTTAGTTTGAATGAATCTAAAATGCATCTACTATCTTGAGCCTGTAAATTAAACTGCAAATCTCATGCTCTATATGTGCTTGCAAGAAAAGCCAGGAGATCTTTCCTCTTGGAACAATTTCTGTCGCATTACTTGTGGCCTCTTCCCAGCTTACAACTTAAGTCTCAAGGGCAGTCATGAAGGGTGCAAGCTATCAATCTGCTCACCCATCTTGGCACTTATTAAGTAGGGGAAATGAAACAAAAGCCATTTGTATCTGCTCAGACTTCACCAAATAATTAAATTTAAATTCTGAAAGTGAGTTCTTGAGCTTTCTGTGGAATGCAATACAGAAATGCTGAATTTGATGTAGAGCCACGTGACACTTTGATGTACTGAAACCTTCCAGTTCTCCTAAGGAAAACCAGAGAGAAGGGGTATTTCCAGATCTGTTTGTTCATCCAATACAGTACTCATGGTTCTATTTGATGTTCAGAATTAAAATGATTGCTTTCTATTTTAATTGTGCAAAATATACATTTCAAAGGAGCATCTAAGCCTCTCCGAACAGTGTAAAATGTGCCCCCTAAAATTTGATTATTTTGGACTTATTTTGTTTACTTAACAAAAGAATGTTTGATTTTGTGAAGAAACTACAGAAAAAATAGTTTATGGAAGTGCAAGCTTCTAAATTCCAGTGTTACTGAATTCTGTTTCTTGAAACCCACATGATGGAAGAGAGTTACTTCTTTATGAAACCTCCTTAGATTTCTAACATTATAAATGCAAAATTTCTTGACCAAATATTTGGGATCAAAAATCCAATCAGAATAATAAAATGCTTTCTCAAATTCTTCAGGAATTTGCATTGGCATTTGGCTATCATAATATATCTGTTATTCTTTTGGAAAGTAGGCTTTCTTTCTAAGACAAGAAAACTGACAGTGACCCCGAAAAAGGCACAGCAGTGACCCTACAGGAGATGATGGCAGTTTTGCAGTGAGATCCCTGGGATGTGGGCCGTGAGCAGGGATGATCTTTGCAGTGTCCCATGGCTTACCTGCATGCCCAGGTTTCAGCAGAGACGTGCCATAGTTCCACTGCCTCTTTCCCATTAAACTTGATAACGAGAGCTCACACAAGAGCTCTTCCTGCTGTTTTGCCTTTTATAATATTTACTTCCGTGATGGGGAGCTACGATAATTTTGATATGAATCACTGCTTTTCTTAACTGGCAGACTTTGTAAGGGTAAACAGAGCAATCCCAATTATGCCCCTTTTTGACCTCTTTTTCTGCTGACTTCCAGCACCCTTCCCCCAGGAGAACAATGGACCAGAGTGAACCCGTGTACAAGGTTGGCAGCAGCCTGACAATTGAAAATGTCACCATGGAAGATGGAGGCCTATACATATGCAAAACATTCAATGTAACGAAGCTGGAAGCTAATGTCACCGTTACGGTGTACGGTAAGTTCTGCAGCAAGACTATACTTTTAGTGTAACCAAAGAATAGTGCCACATTACCAAATCTGCTGATACCTCAATGCTGTTAGGAAGAATGACAACTGCTTAAAACATTAATAATCTGTAATAATTCTATGAGAGAGTCAGCATCCAGAACAGTGTTTTCAAAAAAACATCACAGAGCTCAAGACTGCTGCATCTGAGGGTATGGATGAACTGGGATTGAGCTACTTAGAAAAGGCAGCTCTGAGAGTGGTTGCTGATGCCCTGGAAAATCTGTCGGGCTGGCATTCACAGGACAGCATACCCCAGCACTTAGACATGCTGCAGCAGGGGCACAGCAGCTGCTAATTCTCTCCATTAAATAAAAAGTCCTTCATGTGGAGATATAATTCACTGACTGTGCCAGAGCTGTGCAGTCAAACTGCTCTACCAGGCTGGCATTCCATTTGGTTGTTTCCATCCTCTGCACATCTGCAGCTGCAAAAGATCAAGGATAGGCAGAGCACTGTGTGAAGATACAAGCACTGCACTGTGGCAAATCTGCCATTCCTTGTCTTTCTCTTTGTTTCTCTTTCAAGACAAACCTTTCCTTGAGGTGTCGCACAAGAAAGGGCTTTACTATGAGATTACATCAGGACACAAGTCGCTGAAACTGGCTGCGAAGGTGGATGCCTTTCCTCGCCCAACTGTTGCCTGGTGAGTACCTGGAGCAAAAGCAGACATGGCCTTGTTGAGGCTCCTGTCCGGAGCAGATTTTCACTGTTGCTTCACTGACAGCAGGTATAAGTTGGGAGCACTCACAGCCATGGCCTCACAGCTCACCCAAGGAGTTGTTTCTCCTTTCTGTGCTGCTGTGTGCTGTGTGGAGGTGATAAGCTGTACCTCTTTCCCATGCTATTTTTCCCCTTTAGTCATACAAACAAAAAGGTTCCTACAGAAAAAATAGAGGTTTTGTTTACACTGGACACAGAACTGTTTGGAACAGTAGAAATCTAAGGGGGAAGGGCTGCCAGTTTATTAGCTTTAGTGGTGGCTAGTCTGCAAGGATGCAGGGCACAGCAGAAAGCTGCAGGACACACTATTAACATGAAAAAATATTTCTCTTCTTATCTTTTAAATAATTTACTCCAGTTGGTCCCACCAGCAATGCCAGTAACTCCTCCTAGGCACTGTAAAGGCTCCACCTGGACTGTGATGGATTAGGTGAAAAGCAGCCAGCACATCAGTGAGTGCAGGACACATTCATTTCTCTCATTGCCCTTAAATCACTTGTCCTCAGCCCTGCCACTTTCTCCATGCCCTATTTCATAGGGCTCTTTCCCAGCCCCACCTCACTCACCATGGGCAGTTCTGCCTGTCTCAGCTGAGCAGGAGGCTTGGCAACACTCCCCAGTGCCATACCTGGCCAGCTGAGTGCTGCTCAGGATGAACTGCCAGCAAGCAAAAGGTGTTGCTCAGGGATGGGTTTGCTGGCTTTTCCTAGCAGCAAACTCACAAGAAATTCTCCAATGTCAGTCAAATCACCGACCTCTGCATGCCAAGAGCTATTTTTAATTGCCCCTGGTTTTTAGGAGACAGAAACCTTCCTGGGAGTTAGAGAGGGAGCACCCCCTTTCCCCTGCCAGGCTTTGTTCCCAGGGCCCAGCATGCGGCAGCTCTGTGGCAGCTGGGACCACCAGAGCCTCCTTCCCCACATGCAGCAGATGTTGACGTTGGAGGTCTTTCAGCACAGTTTGAATGACTGCAGAGGAGGCTTTCAGCATGCTCAGACAGCAGGACACGTACCCCAGCTTCTCCTTCCACCAAGTCTGAAGCTCTGTGTGTGGCAAAGTCTGCCCTATTTCATATTCATAACCCAACTGTGGGTTAGCAGCAAGCAGGAGAAGGTCATGCAGCCTCGCCCAACCCAGTGTTAGCGATGGTTCAGGGCTGCAAATTCCTCACTGACCTGTCTGTTGACTCTAAACTCTCCCTAACACAGACTGGCTTTTTCGTAAATAGTAAAGGATCATTCATACATGCTGAAAAACAGTTATGATTAATTAATATCTTGTTTTAAAACTGATGATACAAATTTTGGCTAACCCATCACTTATTGCACTTAGTATTGCACGTGCAAGCTGATGTTTGCAGTCCACAACAATTTGAGGGCAGCTCCATTTGCACTTCTGATATTAGTTGAGCGTATTAGAAGCACTGATAACTCAGATTCATTTAAATATCTTTTTCCTGTAGCACTGCAGATGCTACTCAATCTTAGTGTGAAAGAGCATGGGAATAGAAGCCCAATTCAAGCAGGGGTTCCTGTTCTGTCTGCAGTGCTGATTCTGAAGGATGACCCTTTAACCACTCTCATTTGGGTACCAGTCAGGCTTTCTGAGGGCTAACAGCCACGTGTGCACATGATGAGCCTTGCTGGGCCTTTCACAACAGGTACAAAGATGGCAAACTGATCAAGGATAACCAAACTTGCTACGAGCCGGACCCAGCGAAGTACAGGCTGGGCATAAGAGATGTGAGACCAAAGCATGCTGGGAACTACACCATTGTCCTGAGCAATGCAAAATATGGCCTGTACAAGAACCTCACCATGCAGCTGGTAGTGACAGGTAAGGACTTGATGTTTGTAATGATACTGCTGTGGCTTTTTTTCCGTGTGACGCTGTTCTTTCAGTCAGTAGGAAGGAGGGACAGGTCCCACGTTTACCTGCAATGAGCTCATACAACACATTTAGGAAACACTGATGATCCGTTTCGCACCAACCCATACGAATAGAGGCAATAGAATGGAGATCTGCAATGAGGAGTTAGGCTGAAACCAGGTCATCTAAAACAACTTTCCACCAAGCTGCTGCACCTCAGACCGCAGCATCTTTTTGTTGGGATGGTCTGCAGACAGACACGGAAACGGCTTGAAAGTGAAGAGCCTTTCAATAGGAGTTTGGGAGGATATCTAGGAGCAAGGTCTGGAGCCAGGGGCACAGTTTCCCAAGAGAAGTGGTGGAAGTTTTATCCCTTGAGATTAAGAAGTAGCTTGGGCAAAGCACTGGGGAACATCCTGTTGGGACAGGAAGAGTCCCAAGTGTGCTGGCGGAAGGAACCAGATGAGCTGTTCTGTCTTTCATGTCTCTCCATCATCCTGCTACAGAAATACTGCCTAAGTCTGTATTTCGTATTTTTGTGTTGTCATTTATCTGCTGGGAGCATTTGAGGGATAGGCTCATTTTCAGGAGGATCCAAAGCAAACGGAGTGCAGTGAGGCTGGTTTACTTGTCAGAAAAGGAAAATAGACATTGGAATCACATTTACTGATCTCACTCACTGGGATGATGGAAGACAGAGCTCATTGTCTCTTTGCACATCTGCTGCCTCTTTTAATGCAGTGAATTTGGGAACAGAAACAGAATCATGAGGCCCAGCGGGAGTTCGACATGTTAGCTCTGCTTTCTTCTGTATTTCCTGAGGTTTGCTCAGGCAGTGAGATAGGTGAAGTGGTTGATGGAGGTTTGTTTTCTTTTCTACGGTGAATTTTTCTCTCTTTCTCTTCTTGACACCTAAAAATATTCTCAATTGTCCTTTCTTGAATTACTTATGTGCTGTTGCACTATGTAACTTCCAGCATTTGTTTTTTTCTCATTTCACCTTTCACAAAGGAATAATGCGTAACAAATGGAGAACTTGTTACTTGGGCATACTTGGCCTATTCAAAATGCTCAGTGCTTACACCAACTTAAACAACCCTTAAACTAATGTGTGATACAGGACTGTAGAGAGCTGGGAACCTGCTCATGGTCAGCTGCTGTGGCTCAGTGATGGGCAGGAATGTGTTAAACTGTGGCCATTTATTCCCTCAGGGTTGTTTATCCATACAATGGTTTTGCTGTCTTGTTAGAGAACAGAAACATCCAAAGGAAGAGAAAATTAAGAATGATAATAAATTATCTTGTCAAGGTAAATATTAGCGTTTGCGTGCGAAAGAGAATGTTTAGTCGAAGAGCAGCCATTCCACAAATAGGCATATCAAAAACAAACAGATCTTGTTTGTAGGAGCAAGATGCTATTTCAGGATTAAACCATCCATGCTATTAAGTACAGCACAAGCCTTTCATCTCTCTTGTATGTACAGGCGTGTGTTGTTCTGGCTCTCTCACACAGTGCTTGCCTAGCATGGTGCTCATTGTCAGCCTTTATTTCAGATCAGCCCAATAAAGACTTCAATCAGGACTAATTATTTCATTGCAAAACACCCTTTTTAAGAGTATGCAAAGGCCAGCAGCTGCAGGACTGTTACTGACCAGCAAAGGTAATGCTTGCTGAAGCACAGGAAAAATGAACAGCAGGTGCTTCTTTCCTGGTTAAAAAAAAAAGAAAAAAAGCCATCTCTGAAAAGAGACACAAAATGGAAAATATCTGCCAAAGAAAGCCACTGTTTTTAAGCAAATCACTGCAAACAAGGAGGTACTTGCCCAGACTGTAGATAGGAATGACTCAAAACTAGGAAAGCTCTCTTCCTTGCCGGGCTCTTCCCTCTGCAGCACTAAACCAGCAAGCTGGATCTGGAGCACGCAACCCAAGGATGGGCTCCTTTAGCCCAGATGCATGTGGGAAGAGATCAAAAAAGGAAAATTTTGTTCTTGAAGCTTATCCGACTGCAGAAAAACGCTTTTTTCCTCATGCTTTCAGCTAGGGAAAATGGATTGCTTCTTTTTCAGATTTGGGCATAATTTGCTTTATATTCAAAAAACAACCTGAATGCAGATTTAAATTTTTCTCTCGACTCCTAAACAAATAACCTGACACTTAATCTCCAGTTCGTGTGACTGATGTCCTGGCATCACCTGAACAGATCTAATTGTTCGGAGCTTCAGCAGGAGGCCGAAATGCTCTGCAGATATTTTACGTGGGATTACTTTGCCCACCGCTGAAACAGAACCGCCTCTGAGCTGAGAGGGGTGATCAATGTCTCAGCTTAGAACCAGGCAGTCTGCATTACTGAAGGTAGAATTTGAACGCTGGTATTAACAGACTTCATGGAACAATCCTCTTGGTTTGCAGGTCAACACGTTGGTAGAAGCATCAGTTTTGCATCATGTCTAAGAGGCGCTGCCTGCAGCAGCCCAGCACCTGCCCAGCCTCATGCCAACTACGTGCACATCAAGCAGCTTCCTATTACTGAGGAGTAGCATTTCTTTTTTGAGTAACAGCATTAGTCCCCAAAAGGCAGGGCATGTCTTTTAATTTGAGAATTGCATCTGAGAAAGAAAGTGCATTCTGAACTGTATCATTTAAATAGGCTTTGGAATGTGAAGATAAGTGCCATTTGTCTCTTCCTGCATATAGAAGAAATTATAAGCAAGCATACAGCCCCCTCTCCTGTGAGTCTCTTCAAAATAATACATCATTAATTCTCCTGAGCAGCACAGATAGGGTAAGTGGCTATGTGCTGTGACAAACCCATCACTGCCAATTTGAACTAGGTGTAGAGGAAGTTAATAGTGTTGCGAAATGTTATCTACAAACAAAGTATAAATAGCACTAGAACTCTTACTCATCGAATTGCATTATATTAATTTTGCAGGGCATTTTATTCTGTAATAACAGCAGCAGAAAAGAACCCCTTAAAAAGTAGGAGAAAATTAGTGATATGCCTGAGCCCTACAGGACAGCAGCTTATATGCAGTGTATCTCCTGACCTGCTAGAAGACCTGAACTGCTGCAAGCTTTCTTTGGAATTATCTTCCATACACTTAACTGGTAGCCAGCACAGCACTTCTGGCATAAAGTACTGTACTTGTAAGGTATTTGCTTCATAGTAATGAGTGCAAAAAGTAGGAGCTATTTCCTCACAAAGGTTGATACGGCCATAAAACTGATGAGTATGCAGGGAGCAGAGGTATTCGTTGTCTCAGCTCTACAGAAACAAGAAACAAAAGGGCAAATAAAGCCCCAAGCTGCTGGCTGGGAGCTGGTAGCAGTGCTGGCCCCAGCAGTACGCAGGAATCAGGCACACCAAACTGTGCAGTTGCTGTCTGGCCCAGAGCAGAATAGCACTGCTATGCAAAAAATGTCTCTTTAAGAAGTGGCTTAGCTGTGCCTCTGGTCACCCATGCTCCCAGTGCAGCTGGAATTTCATCTTGCAGGAGCACATATCTCCCCTGTGGAGTCCTGTTGGCTCATTGTAGGACTCAAGTCCCCGGGAGGCAGCTGACTGCATTTTCAAAACTCTCCTTCTTTACATATTTACACATCAAACACTGTCCAAGAAGCGGCAGGTTGCTGTGGTTTTGTTTTGTTTGATTAAATTCTTATTGAGAAAAGGTTCAAGAAAATAATGTCCTAAAGAATTTGGAGGAAAGGGGGCAAGAAGAAGGAACAATCCTAGCAAACAGCTGGTGGCTGCACATCTGAGCCAGCCAAGGAGGAGAAACGTGGGAGAAAAGAGTTATTGCAGGCTGAAGTACAAAGCCGTTTCAGAACAAAACATAAACAAAAAATCCCCAAATCTATTTATGGGGAAGCAGGCTGCATTTCATTCTCACCCTTGCTCAAGTCATCTGCATGTATCAGAGTTCTTGCTGAGCCCTTTATGGGGCAGTCAGCATGCTCTGACCGTCATGCTGTGAGCGAAGGTTGTATAGGAGCATAAGTTAATTCGAAAAAAAATGGGATGAATAACCTCCTTCACCACTTTTCCTTTCTCCTTTGTCCCAAAGTTTCTCTTCTGTGCTCTGTCAAGACTCTTCCAGCTAATATTGCTTTGGGTTCCTGCTGCTCTAGTCAATTGAAATTACATTCCCTTGAAGAGTCTTGATCCCCAAAGCTCTTGCATTGTATCTCTAAGAGGGGCAGTGCAAAGTGCTAGCAGTAGCTGTAGCAAAAGCAGTAGTTATTCACAGGCTCCCTCAAATTCCCTCTCTCCTGGGCATGGACCAAACTAGGAGACCCTGAGCATGCAGAATTCATGTATGCGTTGCCATGTGCTCCCCATTATGACACTGTGGTGGCTGTACCTCAATTTCTGTTACTAGGGAGAATTAGCTCCAGAGCGCCTAATGGCGCATGTGTTGCCCTACCCTGTAATCAGGCCAGCTCTTCATATTTGGTTTAAAATCAAAGGCAGAGGGAGTTCTGTGCTTGACCTACTTTGGCTTGCAAGGGATGAGTTGACATCAAAGGAGTCCCCAGTGATCTCCACAGAAGTTAAGAAATACATGGTGATCCATGGGAACAATACTCTGTCACTTTAACCAGATCCAGACTAGTCTGAAGAGGGAGACAGCCCTCAGGATGAGGTTAATTCATGCTGGGCTGTGCCAGGTCAGAGCAAAAGAGCTCTTGGAGAGACGGAGCTCATCTAAGGGCAGCAGAGGGGAGTCACACACGGTCCTCAGTGCAAGGAAGGGCCACAGAAATATCTGTGCTGGACATCAGATGTGAGAAATGGGAATTTCTTTGCATTAATACTGCAAATAGGTGGAAGGATTGAGCCACATAGGAGAAGCAGGGCTGCAGAGAACCTTCACCTTGCTTGCATTCTTCGATATTCTGCCAGGACTGGCTTTCCATTGTATGTTACATCTAGCTCCAGTGTAGCTCCTTGGAGGATAAC